GCAATCCAGCTCCTTGTTTACCATTTCTTTGCAAAACAGGTTAGGAGAGCATGATTTATTTCATTTATATGGCCCTCCATCTCACTGTAGTGACTCTGGGTAGCTAACTACACATAAAAAGCACAATACAAAAATAAACTTGAAACTACATATGGCATATGTTATAAAAGGAAGCACCTGAAGGAGGACACATTCACTGTAGGAATCCAGCCATCATCAAAGGTGTTCCTTTGTATCCCTCCAGTATCAGAAATATGGCTGATAGAAATATAGTTGTAGCACCCAGGTTGTGGTCCTTCTCATTCCCACACTTTTTGAAGAATATTGCCTTCAATACATTACTCAGTTGGCTTTTTTCCCTTTAATCTGCTCTGAAGACAAATGGGCAAAAAGAAAATTGTTTACAAACATATTAGTATATGAAGAAACAGATGCTAAGCCAAATTAGGACTGAGCATTCACATGAGTTGAATTTCAATTCCAGCAGGAATTCTGCAAAGTGGTTGCCATGCCTTACATTCTGTCATGATCTCTTCTCTTCTTTTGACAAAAACTACCAGACCATGGAACAGTGCATCATCGTCCAATCATGATATGCTCAGATGACGATTGAAAATGTAATAGAACAGAGAAGACGACAATGGGAATGACAAGAATTCCTATGCTACTACCAGCTCCAAAAGTATACTCTGACTTCTGTTCTTTATATATCAAGTTTGCCAGTCAACCCTTTGAATGAAAGAACTCTTGAAGTGCAGCAAAAATCCTGCTCAGCAGTAGAATTAACCCTTCCTTTCCCAGGTTGTGTTCCCTATTCATTTCCTGCTACAACTTTGCTTTTTATTCCAGTCCAATTTGCAGGACTGCGTGTGGAACTCCGATGAGGAAGAAATGGCGAATGAGGAATTTGGAGTTAAATGTTTGGTGATGAGTAAGCTCATCAAAGAAGAGCTTAGAACTGAATCTTTCTCTCTGACTGGCTAACCTTCTACGTAGAAGGAATTTTCTCCTTAATAAGAAGAAATTGTTTTCCTTACTCTTAACACAGTTTGCGTTCCACAAATAGATAAATAAGCTCAAACTGTCCTTGATTGTAATTGCAGCTGAAAACTTTCATGTATTTTTGACAAGAGTTTGGAATATTGTACTCTCCTTTCTGTTATAACAAGTAACTATGACAGGGACGATTAGGAGGCATTCAGTACATCATTTCATACTATTATTAACACAGTCATCACTAATAAAGGAATTATAGCTAGTAATGTACACTGGCAGCCAGGTTCTTCAATAACTCTCAATATGAATGGCTCCTGGATATTTAAGGGCCAGTTCAAGTGCAACAGTGGGGAGAGGGAGTGTGGGGGAAATCCCACATTTATTTCCCAGTAACCAGTTTAAAAATAGCTTATTAGTTTTTTCACCCCACTTCTCAAACTTTATTTTTTCAAAAGGGGGATTAGCATGCAGCTTTGAATTTGTGTGTGTGTGTGCATGTGTTTTCCCCTAAAGAAGTATGTAAACACTTACTTTTTGTATATTTGGAAAGGAACAACACTTTTCTAATTAATAAGCAATCCAGAGCTTAGCCATTTACTGGTTTCCATGTTGGCCAATATTCTAAATGTGCTTAGATCGATCTATCTATCTATCTATCTATCTATCTATCTATCTATCTATCTATCTATCTATCTACCTACCTACCTACCTACCTACCTACCTACCTACCTTCTATCTCCCCTCCCATTCCCTCCCCTCCCTCTCTTTCTTCCTTCTCTGAATTTGAGGCAATCCATTTAAAAATATTCTCAGAATATACTTCAAATCCATATTTCAATCCATTTTGATTTATGATTTAAAAACAACAATAGTAAATTAATGCAAAAATGGACCCAACATGGCAGACATGCTTTTGCTCCAAATGATAGTGAAAGTGTTGTGCAGTCGCATCATACCATGGCGACACTGTTGCCCAGGGCAACCAAGATGATTGCAAAGGAATGTATTTGTTTATTTATTTGTTTATTTATTGTTATTGTGCTGTGTAGCAGAAGCTACACTCTGGAAAAATGGGACTCAAAATATCCCATAACTTTTGGAAGAACAAAGAGCCTTCTTGAAGGCATTTAAATCCACTCAAGATGGGGCCAAGGAAGTGGACCATCTCAATTGTTCTACACACATAGTAGAATATGATAAAAGGATAACAGTGTTCTGTGATATTAGAATGGACAACATCATATGTCCTGAGTGTTCTTTTAATATATAAGTAATATTTAACAGGGGATGTCCAACAGTGGTGCAGGCCACACCATCCATATGCACAGAACTGGTATTTCCAAACAAAACAACAAGATCCCAAAAGTGATGGTCAGATGACAAAAGTATCTCTATACTGGCCAGTGTAGTCTAGAATAAGAAGAATGAGGAAAGAGACTCTGTATGCTTTATAATTCTTTCTTTCTATTACTGAGACATTGAAAATAAAAAAGACACCAATCTGCTAATGTACCTGCCATATCACATTCATAAGGAAATGTACATACAGCAGAACCTCAAGGATTATTGGCTTGTACCCTGTGAACTAGGTTCACATGATACATCAGACCTTAAAACTTAGATTAAGAGAATACAGTCACTCTATTCTTATCAAATATGACACCCAAGTGATGTCATAGTTTATACATCATTTGAAATAATAGCCTAGATTCCCACAACACTTAGAAACATTCAGCCCCATGTTAGCCTAGTCTAGAGTATGTGCAGATGTAGAAACCTGCTCAATAGCATTTTAATACAGATGACAAGAGACATACTTTCAGATTTAGGAAAGTTGTTAAGAACATTTGGAGAAATCATGGTGGTGTTATTTGTGTGTGCAGGGACTAGAGATAATACAAGTAGAAGATTGACTTGTGCTGGAAAGCCCTTCAGAGACGTTAAATAACTGCAACTGGAATAAATGTTTCTCAGCAAATTGCAGATGGTATATTTATCTAGAAGAAGGGTAATAATGCAGAGAAAAAAATGCAGCCCCTAAAAGCCAAGGGAACCAGTTTGGTGTAGTGGTTAAGGTACCAGGCTAGAAACTGGGTGACCATGAGTTCTAGTCCCACCTTGGGCCAGTCACTCTCTCCCAGCCCTAGGAAAAAAACAATGCCAAACCACTTCTGAAATCTTGCCAAAAAAACTGCAGGGAGTCAAAAACTGACTCAAAGGTGCACACAGACACAAAACCCAAGAACAGGTGGTACACAAGGACGAAATCTTTCCATCCCTTTGGAATACTGCCCCAAATTAAGCTGCAATTCTTTACATTCTTACATGGAATAAGAGCTATTGAATTTGCATTGAACTAAATTCTGAGTAGACCTTTGTAGTTTGTATAGTTTCCCTAAGCATACTCTTAGGACATGTATCGGGTGTTTAAGAAATACAAATACAGAAATAAAATGACAATATTTGTGAAGGATTGCACAGAGTAGTCAGGGATACATTGTGAAATAAAACAGCTGTGAGTCTCATCTGAGTTATCCAGACATCAGAGGACATGTTCATCACCTTTTTTAGTTCATGTTTTCAACCCATGTTATAGCTCAATGGTGCCTTGTGTGTTTAGGACACCAACACTTCTTCCCCAAGGCTTTCTCGTACACTTCAAATGAGGAAAGAAAATCCAAAACCCTCCGTTCAGTGGGTCATATTCCATTGTTAAAACTAACCAGGAGATAACTTGATATTGTACACAAATTGCTTCCACTCCTAAGAAGAAAAGTGGGATAGAAGTTCAGTGACAAAATTATAAGCACGTTCCCTTTTCAGGAAACAAAGCAGAGGACAACTCCAAAAACCTTCAGTGTAATTCATGAGCTTCCAACGGCCATCAAGCCAGCAGCTTCTCTATATATACCAGTGTTTCTCAACCTCACCAATGCTAAGATGTGTGGACTCCAACTCCCAGAATTCTCCAACTCCAGGCATGCTGGCTGGGGAATTCTGGGAGTTGGAGCCCACATATCTTAAAGTTGCTGAGATTGAGAAACACTGCTCTATACCTCTGATAATAGACAAGTGGGAGAGCTGTGTGAATTGCCAATACTTGATATGGAGGGGGGAAAAACAACTTCAGTCCTTTGCTAGCAGATTGAAAGAAGACAACCATCAGAGTAACATTTATGGATACGTAAGGGCTCAGTTTGCCGTTAGATAAGAATATGAGTCCTGACATAGTTTCTGCCTTTGGATGCTGGGGCTTTTAAATATAGTAATAATGCTGCTTCCTTTTCTTCCTTCTTTGTTCTTTGATCTCTTCTGCTTTCTTTCTCTTTTGATTTTTTTCCTTTCTTCCTTCTCTCAGATTGACTGCTTTTTTCCCACCACCATAATCTTCCTTCTTCTACTACCTGGTGTATTCTTTTGTCTACTTTTAATTTATGTCTGTTTCCACTCAATTGGCTTAACCGCTTGGGCATCCCTGTGAGGTGCTGTTTGGATGTTCTGTCTCAAGCACCAGAACACCTTTGACTATTTCTGCCTTAGTCAGACAGAATGCTATTTTGCTCTTTTGTGTAATGGGCTGCTCCTGTGCTTTTAATAATAGCTTAATGCATCCAAATTCAGTAAGTGCAGCTGGTGTTCGGCAATGGCTTCTGTCAGAGGAACAAAGCTAAGAAACACAGCTTTTCCTATTTTGGTGCAACGCTCTAAGCCAAGCTGCATTATTTTCTACTCAAAATTAGCCTTTTTAAAGGGCTGGTTGTATTTATGTACTCTTTTTTATTTTTTGGTATAAAAATAAGGCATGATGTTTAGGTGACTTACTAGAAGATAAAATGCCTGGGTCCATCTATAACACAAGCAAAGAGCAAGGAACAGTACAGGAACATGAAGGGTGGAACAACTGTGTAATTCATGTTTTCAGAAAAGAAAAGAAAAGAAAATACCTGCATGACATTATTTTTTGTGTGTGTGTTTGTGTATGTGTGTTTCTCTTTGGTCTTCAGGATGATCTTCAGCCTGTTGCATCTGAAACCAACTGGGAATCAGTCACAAGCCCGGTCTTGGTAAATAATGTGTTAATCTATTATCTGAAAGAGGAGAAAGTAACTGGAGTTCAGTTGAGGTCCACAGCAAGGAGACTGTTTGGATTTAAACCTTGCACTAAGCTCTTATACAATTTGTGTTATTTTGGCGTAGTGCATTATGAGAACTGAAATGATTACAGCTAGTTCAGCAAACCAGCGTTAGGCAATGAATGTGATGTATCAAACAGATCAGTATCATGCTGGCAGTGTTACTAGCAAAGACATTTCTACTAGTAACACTGCTCTGGGGTTTGTTGATAGCAATGAAACGTGACTCAAATTTGCAGTGAATTGGTCAATCATTAATTTCTCCACAAATCCACTCCAGAGCTCTATCTGGCAATATCCTGACTATTCAGAAAAGGTATCAGTTATTTGATGTGGATCCTTTGGAAACAGCATTAGAGAGCATGTTATGACAAAAAGGAGCTTGTGTAGGCTGCTTTGTATGAAGAAGTTCCCAAGTGCCATCTTTAGCATTCTCAGCTTAAACAGATATGAAAAAGGTCTTGGCAAAAACCCCTGTCAGGCAACTTAGGGAACCAGTGCTAGTCAGAATAAATCAGCCTTTGACCAACTTGACACCCACCAAATATATTAGGACTGTAGTTCCCAAAATTCTTACACATCATGGAAACCATCTGGAGAGAAACAGGTTAGGGAAGACTACAACAGATGATGTATGTATAGATGGACAAATAGGCTAATCTGGGTAAACCTCTGTGCATTTGCTGTGAGTGCTCAAATGAACACCATGCTCCTTTCTTGTCTTTAAGAAAGTAGAAAAAGGTAAGTTTCATCTCCTTCCCAGTTTTCATTATTAATGATACTCAGGAAATCACTTGTTAGATTTAGGTCCTGAAGTTTGGATGTCATTCTAGAAACAATAGAGGGCATCAACAATCTGTGTAAGAATTAAAGCTGAGCATGCTTCAGAAATGATTCAGAAGAATGATAGAAATGTGGGAGCCTGTAATGCAGTGCCTATATAAGTTAGCAGTATTGCTCTTCAGACTTCTATGTGAGCCTGAAAACAGACATTGTTGATTTAAGGAGTCAACTCTTCAAAGCAGCCATATCCTTTTTTTTTTTTACAATGAAAAAGTCTGGAAAAAAGACATGGGAACTTTAAAGAGATGCTGCACTTTATTCTCCTCTTCAGGATTCCTTCTGAATCATTTTCAAAGCATGAACAGCCCTGCTAAACTATCTTCAGGAATATACACTTACTCTGTTTAGTTACTGAACAAACTGCAGTGGTATATTTTACAATTTCTTTCTTATTCCACCATTAGAGTTCATTAACATATTGAGTAACTGTGGAAGAATGAATACAGTTTATTAAAGCAATGCTAAACATTGTTGCTATTTTGAAAACAGTATATAAATTTAATCTCATTTTGAATTCTTATCTATCCAAGTTCCCAAGTCAGACATCATTTTTGTTTCATGTTTGTTAAAAATTAGCTGCTAGTATTCCTTCCCAAGTAAGAATCTATTGCCGAATGGAAACAGTGAGATTTATAATTTGGCAAGTCTTAATCTTGGTCCGTCAAATAATTCTTCTTTGTATTATCCTTGGGATGCAGTGCTTAGGCCATAGGGTACATGTAAATACTTTTTTTCCCTAAAACTGTTCATACCCTCAGCAAAAAAAGGTCAAGCTTGTTTAGTTTATCCTTAGCAACTACATTTTCCTGAGAACATGCCAACTAGTATGAGATTGTGCTCCTGACTTGCCCCTCCTCCCCCCCCACCATCAAGAAAATAAAGCTTCCTTTTTCTGCATGGACATTGTGTTTTGAAAATCTATTTTTACAAACTCCAGAATTTTGTACAAAAGGAATAGTGGTGATATTGTTCTTTGGCCACCTTGATTTCTTCAAACTTCTCTCTCATCCATTATCTCAACCCATCTTCTCACCTCTATCTAAACTGCAGCAATAAAAATCAGGCATATTCCTCTTCATGACTACAAGACTTGCCTCCTTACAATTCCTATTTCAGCAACCTTTTTCATGTTTAGCACATCTCTTCCTTAAAAGACCTCCTTGGCCTGTTCTTTTTTTTTTAAACTTTTTAAAAAAGTTTTTTGCAACATCTGTCCTGGATATTCACTCCACTTGATCCACTTATGTTAGAATCTTCTTGACCCTCTGACAATTATATATTTTTTCTTTACTGATCCTTCTGCTTGGAACTATTCTTGAGAATATCTCCAGAAGACCACTTCTCCTAGAAATCCTTTTTCAAAACCCAGCTTTCTGTAAAGTCTGGCTCATCTCCCATTTCCCACATCTCACTGTAACTAAATACTAGAATGGAAAAACTCCACAGCCTATCCTATTTTTTTCTCCCTCAATTCCTTCCCTTCTTCATTATTTTTCTTATATTTTATAGAGGTGCTATTCTGCTTTTATATTTTTCATTACCATGTTCTAAATAAATAACTGTGATGGAATGGAATTATGAAGGCCAAGCTCAGGGAGATAAAAATTTTCTTAGCTCGCCAGAACCGTGTGGGAGGAATAAGAGGATGAGACTGGCACCTCCAGGAATTCACACTGTTGTGGCTGGGGGGTTTTGGGGACTGGGGGTTTTGTCTGGGAAGATTCTTGCTAGAGGTTGTAGCTAATAAACATAGCTGGACTGAATTGGCATTGTCTCTTGGAGTTCCTTGGGCTAGGCCTAACATCAATCTTCCCAGACTACCTTGATTGAGAGATTAAGCATGTGGGTGGTAGCAGTTGCCTCCAAGAGGCCTCATATTTCTCTTTCACTTTACTTTTCAATAAAAAATAAACAAAACAAAAATAAAAGCATGGCTAAAATGGGTCCCTTTTATCACCAGGTTTTGTCAGCATAATCTTGGGATGCTGGGGGCTTTAGGAAGATCACAGATTGGTCATCCTTGTTCTTTGCCTTCACGAACCACTATTCTGTCCCTTGGTATTCTCAGCTTCTGTGCATTCAGCTGGGAGATTTATACTTGCTCTCTATAGCTGGAAGAGAAGCTATACTTGCATTTGCTTGAAGCAAAGCATGCACCTCAGCAAGAACCTGCTTTATTTGAGAGCTGTTATCTGCATCAAGCAAACCTAAGTAAAGCTTCATCTCAGAACTTCTCACTAAGGTGGAGATGAGCAAGCAGTATTCTTTGTACACTTTAACCCCGCACAATTGTGTGTGTATTATTTATATATAAGTATTTGTTTACAAAGAGATATACCTCCATACAGGGAACGCAAGTGTTGTCTTCAATAATGTCTAGTTCTAGCCTTGTGATACAGTCAAATCTGGAAAAAAGTTGTTACGATCTTTTTGTTCTTTTCTACATAATGTTCAAAGTACACTGCCCTGTATGTCATTCTTAGGGCATTTCCTATCGCTCTCCATCAGTGACTGACCCCACTCTTACTGTGGAAGCCCTAGATCAAACCATTGCTGGATTTGATACTGTGGAAGAACTGCTCAAGCACTTTAATCCAGATACGTGGCAAGAAGACCTTGATCTCCTGTACACAGAGACTGCCCCACCTCGAGGCAGAAGTTTCTATGAAAGGAAGTCGAAAGGTAGGAAGCAAAAATGGGTGGGTGGATACAGCAGCAGAATATTCTGTGTTTGATACGATATTAGTTTAATTTTGTGGCTGAGGTGGTTAAAATCCTTGGAGAGATGTTGTAAAATTTTAGCGACTGAGTGTATGATGTCCAAATCCATACTTTGTTCAGTGAGAATTAAAATGCTTTAACAACCAGTCTACATAATGAACATTGGAGAGATATTTGCAGCCTATAAAAGCCACCTGCTCTTACAGGTGCTGGTGCCAGATGTTCTTCTAAGTGCAGTGGGATTTTTTAAAAAAATGATTATCTCCCTCTTATATTGCAGCAGAATAATTAAGATGGTTGCAGAGGACAGGAGTAGGTAGATGTACTACTGGTAATTAGGACATCCATGTTTTATATGCAACAACTGGCTCTAACATAAAGCCAAAAATCATTTGTTCACTGGAGAAATGGTTAGAGATGTCCAGATTTTATTAGATGAGCCCAAGGTGGCTGGGTGCCTCAGAGGACACTTTAGTCAGCTGAGCACACTGAAAAAACAATTTACTCTGCCAGGAGCAAATTCTTATTCCTTATTCCTACATTGATTTGAGAAATTTAGCATCCAATGTGTTATATGCATTACTATGTAAAGTGGTAACCTCTATGATTCTTGATACATTTTGAATTGTGTCTTTTCACCATTTTGATTGAGAGAGAGATGTATGTGTACACACATGCATATGCTTATACACACACACAGACACACACGCCTACATTTTCTGTCTAAGAGTATGCGCCTGGGTGTGTTAATGGCAAACGCATTTCCACATGCCCATGTGGCCAAAACAATGCTACTCATCCAAAAAAGGGGGGTATCAGCAAGCTTTGGAAGACCTAAGATTTGCAAAAATACAGAAGAACTCAAAAAGAATGTAAAGAGGACTGAGCATACTGTACATACTCATCATACATGGAATGGTTGTTTGATTGTTGGAGAAATGGGAATCCAATTGGTTGGGGATTAATAATAAATAATAATTTATTAAATTGATATGCCACCTGACTCCCAACAACTCTGGGCGGCTTACAATCGCTAAAATGTTTAAAAACAAAGAACAATAGAAAGAAATGCGTGAAACACCACAAAACAAAAGAACAACAATGGCAAGGAAAATAAACTCAGAAAGGAAAAGAAAAGAAAGAAAGAAAGAAAGAAAGAAAGAAAGAAAGAAAGAAAGAGAGAGAGAGAGAGAGAGAAAGAGAGAGAAAAGAAAAAGAAAGAAAGAAAAAGAAAGAAAGAAAGGGAAAGAAAGAAAGAAAGAAAGAAAGGAAGAAAGGAAAAAAGAAAGAAAAAAAGAAAGAAAGAGAGAGAGAGAAAAGAAAAAGAAAG